TTTGAACAACCCTCGTATTTAATTATTTTTTCAATACATGTATACAAACACAATTGTATTATTATGAATAGAAATATAAAAACTTACCAATAATCACTTCCCAATTTTTTAATTCTTTGGTAATTTCATATGCACATCGCATTTCTGAATAACAGCAACCTCCAATGACAAATACAATCATACGAGGAACATTTTTTATATTTGGAGTATTTTTATCTTTGTGCCAGTGGCCATAACGAACACTAAAAAAGAATTATTGTATAATTATTTCTTGTTTATAACATTTGTTAATTTTATAATTTTTTTCATATATATTATATTATTTTGTAACTTGTACAAATTAAAATAACAAATCTAGATTCCAACCATCTTTCTTTATTATCTATATATATAACAAAAAAATGGGGGATTTATGAAATAAATAAGTTAAAATGTAATATTTAATAATAATTATAAACAATTATAAATAGTAAGACATTAATGAATTTAAACATCCGATATGCAGTAGTATTTAACAAAATAAATAAAAATAAAATGAGATTATTTATTCTGACATTGTCACAACACAGGGTTGCAATTTTTAGTCATATATTTTAGATTAAATAAATTTAAAATATGCTCTCTACCTCAAATTAGTAGTGGCTTGCCCCTGTACATCATACTTAGACAATAGAGTAGTGCCAGTTATCTATATAACACCTTTCAGAGGGAAAGTTTTGAATTGAAATAACAAGACTTCTAGTTTGTGTTGGAAGTTCATATATAGTTAATCAGGGCCTCCTGCCCCCTAATCTTTCCATATCTGATCTCGTCTTTCATCTATCTAACTCTGTTCTTGAAATTAAGGAAAAACAGATGGACAGACAGGCAACAGTGGGAATTTATAGGTGTACAATTTAAAATTGCAGCCCAAATTAAATTTTTAAAAATTTTTACACATTAACCTAAAATGTTTAATCAGAAGTTTTATGATCATTAAAAATGTGGCATTAATATCAGATATTTTTGTAAAGTTTGTATGAAATAAAACAATTAAATTTTTGAAATCTAAGGTAAAAAAATTTTTTTAACTGATTCTATTATAAGATAAAGTTTTGATTGTCTTTTTTTCTGTATGATTTTAATACCATATTTCTTCAAGTCTAAAATTCGTTTTTTTTTAAACCATTTATACTTGCTCAAAACAGATGTATCTGAAAATCAGTCATTTGAAGTCCAAAACAACAATCAGCAATCATGAGCAGACTATGTGCTGCATTATATACCAATAATGGGTGTTTTCAGCTATACTGCTTAAAGTTCACATCAGTTCAAATGAATTTGCTAGTAACCAACATTTAATTTAAACTCATTTTTAAACATTATAAAACCTTCAAGACATTACAATGCAGCATCAAACAGCATGGAAACACAACTGTTAAATATTCTTATTTCATTGCTTTTGTATTATTTTTCTAACTTGTTGCTTAACAAAGTTTCAATTAAAAAAAAATTAAGAATTTTATTTGATAAAAATTTAAAATTTATATTTAATTTTAATATTTTTTATAAATCTTAAAATTTGATTTCCCTCCAGTNAATTCCATACTAACTTTACTGGTTATACAGTAGAGCCTCGAAAACTCGGCCTAATGTGGACCGAAGGGTGGCCGAGTTTGTGAAAATGCCGGGTTATCGGGAATGGCGTTAAAAAAATAAGTACGAAAGTCCTCAGAAAATACTGTACTATACTTGTATGTATTGTTTACTTGAGAATACAACAAAGAATAAACTGCCCAAATATCCTTAAACAAAGGAAAAGTACACCTTTTATGAAGGCATAGAGCCTTTACTACATGAAAATGAAAATTAATGAATACACTGTACAGTAATTTACCTGATAAGACAGACCTTAGAAAAATACTTTATGAGGCTTAAAGCTGTCTTCATCATGAAAATTAATTAACTAAGGATTTTTTTGCCCTGCCAGGGTGTGGCCGAGTTATCCGGAGTGCCGGGTTATCAAGTGCCGAGTTTTCGAGGCTCTACTGCACTAACAATTTTTGTTAAAATACTACATATCAAAAAGAATCACAATCAAAGTATCTTATCTTCCAATCTTCCTAAGAATTTAAAGAATCTGACAGCAATCAATTGCTATATCTATGAAACAATAATGCTTAATTTCAATTTGCTTTAAATACAACAACTATGAACATATATAAAATATCAATAGTAAGAAACAATAAAAATTATCCAGTTCATATTTTTGGGGTCAATCAAAGAAACAAGGAACAGACAAAATTCAAATTTTATAAAATTCAAGTATGCAAAATTACTGTTACAGTGTATCAGTAACTTTGCATTTGTTCAAAAGCATACTTTTCCAATGGATGTCAAGTACTAGTGAATGTTAAAAGATATAAGAAATGAAGAAATACAAACCTTATTGAAAATAGGATTATTACCTAGCTTCTTGTCAATTTACATAGTATATGCAATATACTTCTCTGTCTTATTTTCATAAAAATAAAAATTATAATATAAACTAAGTATTTGATTTGCACTGGAAACATTCCTACAAAACATGATGCAATTTGAAATGTCACGAATCAAACCAGAATTTTCCATTTGAAACCATTGAAATCTTCTCTGTTGAAATCATCATTTATGAAAATATCAATAGCTTCATTGATCAAATGCAGGACTTCAGAGTCATTTTGATTGTTGAAATTGGTTGACTAGATGTTTCTTTCAAAATGCATCCCTTGGGAGATGTTTGTGAATCCATCTGCATTAATTCTCCACTACTCATTACATAAGTAAGACAAGTAATTCACCTATGTCATTCTCATCAAATCCTTTCAAGTAAGATTTTCTAACTAGGTTACCTATTTCTTGTCAAATTGTAGGAAATTTCTTAGCTTCTAAAATAGTACCATTCCTGTCTTTAATTCTGACCATATTTTGTATCAAACACCATTCATATATGAAGATTTCATCTCCATCCAAGAGCTTGAAATATTTTCTATGACATTATGTTAAAAGTTTTCCAAAATTTCTGCATAGTAGTTTTATTTTTTCCACAATAAAACTTAGAAGCTGTTGAAATGTTCAGCTAAGATAGTAACTTAAAATTTGAAAGGACTCCCTGATCCTTAAGCTAGATCAACGATCTGATCTTAGGAGGCAAATAAACAAAAATCTGATAATTCAAGATAAACTGGTTGATCAGGAGCACTGACTAAGAACTAGTCAAAGTCTTTGTTCTGTTTAACATAAGCTCTAATTTCAGGAATAGCAAGATTCAGAATGTCAGTCTGTAAATAAACCTGCTACTGTCCAACCTTTTATTATTGTTCTCTAGTGAACAGGAAGTCTATCTTTTGAGTATCTTCTTAACAGCTCTGGGATTTTCTGAATGATAGATAAGATTATTTGTAAAGTAAATCTCCATTTGCATTCCTTCCTAAAATTACAATTAGACTAGCTTCACTGATATTAAATCCTGATACAGATTTTTCTTTGGTAAAGTTTTAGTTGGTAGATGTTTCCAAAATAAGACAGACAGTTAGTTTTGTCTATGTTAAATACTTGTTTCACTTTATAACAACATTCACTAATAAGCTCTTTGCAGAAACATTCTGCAGCTACAATAATCTGCAATGGCTCATTTGCCCTTTAATAAAATGCTATTAGATGTGCACAAACCTTGAATTGTTCAAATGTTTCTTCCACTAAAACTTTCACTATCATCACTAGAGCTAGCACATGTGTGTGCTAAAAAAATCCTATTTAGTGGTACCTCATACTTTGAATAACTAACTTCAAATGCTTCAGAATTCAAATGCTAAATTCACCTCAAACTTCAAACGATGCTTCAGAGTTTGAACTGTGCAGACAGTGATAAAAGGTGCTCTAAGCCTAAATGCAATCTGTTGTGTGCCAGTCATTTCTTGCTCTTGTAATATACTCTTATGTTTTTTGATGCTTTTTCACTTTATTTTTGTTATGTTTAGTTATATATATTGTGTTATTCATCCATTTTTAACAACAACTTTCTGCAATTTTTCTTTATTGACAATTTTTGGGTACCCCATACATTTGTTATCCTTTAGTTCAAAATTTCTTGAACAGAACTTTTAAAACCATATTTAATATGTTTGATACATATTACACTTTTTTTTTTATGTTTATATGGTATTATATCCTTTCCAAAACTCAAAGCATAATATGCCTAATATACTTTTTATCTGAAGACATTTCAACTTGATTTTATTCAAACAAAATGTTTAAAGTAAGCTTATAAACAAAATACAATTGCACATTAGCAATGTGTTAAATTTTACAACTTATTATTAAATCACACATACAAGCAATGACAGCCAGTAAAAAATAAGCTAAACTTTCTCTAATCTATGCTCAATATAATTTTCACTTATTAATCATGGCATTCGAGAAGTGTGTAGAAGCAATGAAGTCTAAAATGAAGATTGTAATATTGACAATTTGAGGTGAAAAAGGAACTTATGATGAAGCATGAAAGCAGCACACATGTGGTGGATCTGCAGCTATGTTTAAGATCCCAAATTGGACAATGTGAAACAAGTTAATAAATAATAAAATGAAAATTGCAGTATTTTATTTATTGCTTTTGTGTTTTAATTTAATATGAGGACATTTCATTGTTATTTTTACCTTAAATTACATGTATTTGCTGTTTTAAGTTTATTGAAATGAGTATTGTTTAGAGTCAGGAAATAGATCAACTCACTTTCCATTATTTCTAATGGAAAAAATTGCTTTGAATTTTAAATGATTCAGAGTTTAAACAGCCAGCTGAAATGAATTAAATTTGAAGTACAAGGCACCATTGTAACTTTTAACTTTTATAACTGCTTATATGATTTTTAGTATTATTCTGAAACAAGTAATTTATAAATTTACTTACAATTACATTTGTATGTAAAATGATTTGCATACAAATGTATTTGCATATTTAAAATTAGAAATAGGCTCACCGTTTTTGGAAAGTATGTAAAGAAGGATAATTCTAATTTTATCAGCATTTGTAACATTTCCATCTAATAAAATAGGAACAATATTTCTCATTGGATCCTTTATTTTTTCTCCTTCAGCATCAGTTCCCATAGCCAGATCCTATTAAATATATAATATAAAATAAATTTTATGTTCTAAATACTACTATATAATTACATATCATTAAGCTAACAGATTGCTAAAAAGTAATTTAAATAATATAAACTTTTTAAATGTATATTTTAGAATTATATTAATAAACTAAAAATGAAAATAATGATCTTAAAAATATTAATTCCATCAGAAATAGTTAACTGTTGATTGATTTTACTTTTCATTAGTTTTTTTATTTCAGATATTATTAGATGTATCACCTATATCTATTATCAACAAGCATTATTTTTTTAAAACATTTCTTTTAATTTTACAAATTGATGCCAATGATACTATCAAGGAGAAAGTCTTTGAACAATAGATATCCCAGTTAAGAACAGTGATAGATAGTGTGTATGTTTATGTAAGAGATCTAAATTAGCCAAACCTTGACATAGCATGTTTCTAAACAGTGTAACTCTCAAAGTACAAATGACAACTTGTAAATACAAACTGCAACTCAAAAACTTTTAGAAAAATTGTTTTTAAAAGAGTACTGTGTACTACATCTAGTAGCTGACACTAACTACATAGCATTGTCATAGATGTCATCTTCTGTAACATGTGACCAGACTTCAACAGCTGTTCAGTGATTTGTGAGTATAAACTTTTTTCAAATAAAGATTTTTCATTGGCATCTTGGAGGAGCAGAGAGTGGCAATTAAATTGCATGTTAAAACCTGAAAAAATACTGTGGAAACAATCAAACTAATTAATAAGGCATATGGAAGTCCTGCTAATGTGTATCAGTGATACGCTCACTTTGGAGTTGGAAGGGAGGACATGAAGGATGATGCCAGAAGTGGTTGTTCTTCAACTGCCAGAACAGACAAAAACATGGAATCTGTTCTTTGTCTACTGACAGAAGATCATTGTACCACTTTTCAAATTATTGCTGATCATTAAAAAATTGGTAATTCAACAAGTTAGAATGACCAAATTTTAAGCCAGTGAGTAGTTCCTTCTTAATATGCCATCTCAATGCTGTAATTGTAAAGAAATTTCTCACAAACAAGAATGTTGCTGTTCTCCACCAGCCACCTCACTTGCCAAAGCTTGCACCTGCTGACTAATTTCTCTTCCCCAAGTTAAAATTTCCGTTAAAAAAGCAGCATTTTCAAAAAGTGGAAGAAATTCAGTGTGCAGTGACAAGAGCTTAAAATGTGAAAATCTGTTTTCCTGGAGGGCATGAATAAAGTTGAATGAATCTGCAAACAAGTGTATTGATCAAGAAGGAATGTATTTTGAAGAATAAAAATAAATTGACCATATACAGTTTTTTGCAGAATGACCGGCATGCCAGTCTATCCAGGGAAGACCATGGAATCAGAAATTTCCATATGGTAAAAACTGACATGCTGACTTAAGTGGGGTTATAGATCCTTCTTCTCTAGAGGGTACATTAAAAATATGAACACGTTACATCAAAAATGAACGAGCTTTTATTCTAAAACTGTGAAACTGTCAACATTACATCAAAAACTATAATTATATGTTTAAGTTCTTCATTTTGTCTTCTTTCTAACAATGTAAAATACTCTATAAATTCCAAAAGTGCTTTTTTTGTGTATTTTATTGTTATTTAATTCAAAAACACAAAAATAAACATATTAAATTTAAGAAACTCGCTATAAATTACCTTAGCTTACACCAATTAACATCAGCTTTGTGTGAAACTTGAGAGTAAGGTGTTATTTCTAAGGTCAGAGTATATTGTCAGTGTAGCCCATGATGACTACCTATTACTAATAATAATTTGTTAATTGTTTTGTAAATGAAAACTCTCTTCCTGATGTTAAATCAGTCAAATTATACAGTAATAATATTTTTTTATACTCAAAACAACTCGTTTTGTTAGATCTGATTAATTTTATATTTTAGTCACAGTTTAACTAGCATGCTAGTAACCCTGGGGTTTCCAGCATGCTGGTCTCCCTCTTATATGCTGGTCATTCTACAAAATATGGTAAGAAGTTATCTATGTTTTATAGCAGTTGTCTATGAACTCTTGGAGATCCTCCCCTATATATTAAACAGAAAACCTTTCAGTATCTGTTAACAACTAAATATATAATTTTGCATTGCAAATGTGTGTTATCACCAAGTCACATGACGTCCAAACTTAAAACTGAGCTACTGAAACTACTCCAAATTACTTAGCTTCTAATGATTATAGTATAATAATAGCCCAATTAATTACTGCAATAGTTTGTAGTAGTATCAATACATGAGGCTTTGGGATGTTGATATATATATACCATGCCAGGTAAAGTGATAGCTGGCTGAGTGCCATAGTGGAGGAGTACATAAGCCATGGAAATAGTTGTTGTCCTAGCTGGTGTGCCATCCTAAATTTAAATATGTCTGGAAGTGAAAACTTGCTTGGGGTCCAGATTGTTAGCTGAGATTGCAGGTTCAAGTCCCCTTCTGAGCTAGTTTTTTTTCCTTCCAGAATGTTCTAAATTGTTTAATCAATTATTAAATTATTATAATTATTAATTTAGATGAGATGGTGCCTAATGTCTATGCCTAATACAAATTACTTAGTTTCTAATTATTAATTATAGCATAATAATAGCCTGCTTAATTATGGCGAGAGTTTGGAGTAGTATCAATACAGTGGGCCACAGAATGTTTATATATTGTCAGAATTTATCATCACAGTATTAAGTGTTGCATAACTTTAAACCTATAAGATTTATTCATATAAGTACTATTTATTCACAATTTTTTAAAATGTTTAAAATATTATGACTCACTCTAAATTTATTTTATTAATGTATTATGCAATTTGAAAGATAAATATACATATTGTGCTTTCACAAAATGAGTTTACCAGTACATGAGTAGGCTAGAAACCAAATCAATCTTGTTGTCATGATTTCAAAGCAGGTATAGTTTTATTACAAAAAAAATTAATTTAAACAAAAGACATCAGTTTAGGATGTAATATGCAATATATATTATCTTAATTGGATCTTGATGAAATTATAAGTACAGTACCTCTGAAATTTATATTCACTAAAAAATTATAGCTTAAGTGTGTTTATGGATAAAATTCATTTTTAAATTAAACAGAAAGCAATTCCTAAATTAAAAAACTTACTTGTTCAACTTTACATAATTTATCTACATAGCCCTGATACATCTTCATGCAATCCTCAGCCAAATGAAGATGAGTAGAATATTTGCTCAATTCTTTTTGGTACTGAGGCATTTTCTTAATCATAGTGGATAAATCTTTCATACTTGCTTTATCGGTAGAAGGTGCCATTCGTTTGCTCTCAATAAATTTTTTCAACTGCTTAGTTACTTGTCTATAAAAAAATATTTAAGTTTATATCAAAATTTTAATCATGTCAAGTAATCAAATTCCAGCTTTATTTGAATTAATCAAAAATGTAACTATAATATGTTGATACTGTAGCTAATTTATTAATTTTGAAATAAAAAATATTTCTTAAAACATTATCATTTTTTCAACACACAATTATTAGAAACAGAGAACAAAAAACTAACTTGAATTCTTATATCCTATTAATTCAAAAATAACTTCATGTCATAGCAACCATTAAGATTAAGATCATTTACCAGAACATGCAAAAAAGATAATTTAATCAGGTATTTTTNTCCGAACAACCTAATAATAAAAGCAAATTATTAATATTAATTATTATTAAAAGACTACTTGAACATTAGTTTTTTTATTGACTGTATTGCTTCATCAAAAATGCCATCTTTGTAAATAAGTTAAAATCTATATTACCTACAATATTTTCATGTCCATCTTCCTCAATTTTCAAAAAACCAGAATCTAATTATCAAAAATTAATTTAAAAATCTTTCATCAAATCTTACTTTGTAGTTTATGATATTTGATGTATCTATATCTGTTTCTCTTTGGATATAAGAATTTAAGAATGAAAATTATTAAAGCATTACTTCAGTTAAAAAAATTATCTACATCAACGGCATTCAGTCAATATCGTTAAGCCAAAAATTTGTATTTCAATCTATTAAAATCTAAGAAATCAAATTACTATAAAAAAATTTAACAAATAATCTTAGAAAATAAAAATAGTGAACTTTTAAAGTCTACGATTAAGAAATTACGATGTTTCAATTGTGATTAATCAATGCAAATAGATTCTTTTAAATGGCTAACTTTTTTAATAGATTTACAGGAATTACAGTCTTCCTTATGCCGATATAAAAAATTTCTTTCAATGAAAGTTTAGATATTCCAATATCTATCGAAGATCTGGATATATCAATTCGTAAATTAAAAACGAAAACAGCTCTTGGAATGGATATAATTACCACTAAATTTATTAAACTTCTTCTGCCAGCGGGTATGCAAGTTCTACTTGTTCTTTACAATCATTTTTATAAATCATTTATTATATTCTTACTGAGTGTCCAAAGATTGAAGAAGCGTAATGTAAATTCAAATTAAAAGAGATTTTTTGATTTAAATTAAGAAGAAAACTTCAGAACTAATCAAGAAAAAATTTCCATTGTATAAGATGTTAAAGTATCCATTAAAGATAAAGTATAAAGATAAAGTATAAGATAAAGTATCCATTACTTTTTTGTTCATATTTTAAAGAATTCGAAATATGATATGTAGATTGAATGATTAATATTTTATGTTTAGCAAAATTTATGTAACAAGATACTTAAAAAAAATGTTTCAATAAGTAATAATTGTATTTTTGTAATTCTCTAAAGCTAACCCCCTGTAACAAGAATTTTCTTATTACAATAAAGTATTTGTAATTAATATCTGTTTCTCTACAATCTTATAAAACAAAGTTTAAAAAACTTTTGTGAAAAATAATTTAATAGAAAATGACTACTTTATAAATTACGTTACAAAAAATATTTCAAGAGTTCCTCTGAACAGCAAAGATACTGTAAATCAGTTGATGCTACTTAATACCAGATTTGCAAGTATTATTGACAAGACTATGTCTTGTTTATTAAATTGTACTGCCTGCTGGGTAACCAGCTTAGAGGTATGAAGGAGTGTGTGTCTGGAGTTGCAATTTGGCACAGAGTATTAGGTGCCCAAATCATGAGCACATAAAAAAGACTTGTAAGTACTCAGGAGACCGAGAACTGAGTCATAATAAAATTCAAAATGGCGACACTCTCTACAGACAGGCAGTAGTGGAGAATTTCACATGTGTTACTCATTGGAAACTTGGAAATGCGAACATTGTGAAATCAAATTTTGACAAACGAATCTTTGAAAAAACCCATTTACCTGTCCCGTGTTATTCCTGACATATCTCTGGTTGTGATGTGCTGACCTTGACTGGTTGAGCTGAGATATCTCATTTCAGCATCAGAACCTTTTTTCAAAGTAGATAGCGCTAGTCATTATAATTTTTTATTAAAACTAACTTCCGAAATATAATTTGTTTTTTTATACATTTATTAATATATATATATATATATTATATATTATAGAAGTTGAAACTATATAAGTATGATTTTATGTTATTAAATAACAAAGGAATAGTTTAATAAATTTTNATTAAACAAACAAATATATATATATACACATATACTTTGTGCAAAATAAAAAAATAATTTCAGACAATACTATAGCCAGGATTATTTTTTTCAAAAACGGGGGATTTTCATTAGGCATCGACAAAAAATCAACCTGGGGTGACATGCTACATTGAGAAATTTTGAAATTGGATAGGTTAATTTCACCAAAAATGCATCGTGGACGACCTCATGTTTGAAAGATCGCGCTCAAAACCAGTAATACCAAAGAATATTGGAGAATGAGAACAAGACCCACCTTAAGCATCAAAGTGATTCTGCTTAGTAGTGAGTCTCCAAGACAGTCTTGTCCCAAATACAACCTTGCCGTTTTACTTGTTTCATTATAAAATTAACAATTGTTTTCAAGTCTTATCCAAGATAAAAATATTAACATAAATTTAAAAAGTGGTTTTATAAAATAAGCAGAAAGTTAATAATACATTTAATATTTTTTTTCTAATTATGATTATTACTTTTTCTGATATTTGTATTTTATAAAATTACAAAATTATCATATAAAAGAAAAATTTAGGATTAAAAATTGCATATTTGAAGTAATTTTCAGTATAAAAATAAAGCCAATATGTATGGATACATACATGAAAATATTTTTGTAATTGTTTTCTCTCTTTTTTAATTCATATTATTTAATAATTATTTAACTGTGGAATTTAAGTCATTTGAACCTGTTATTTTAATAAATATTAGATACTTTGATAAATTTCTTTTGAAACTAATTCTTTACAAATTACACATCTCAATGGATTTTAATTGCCAAAAGTTATAATTTGAACATTAAACTAACTTCATGGTTAATAAGATCAAAGATTAGATAAAGTATGTAATGTAATGGTTGAGACTATGACAATCTCATTTCAATCTCATTTTTCAAAACTAAATAATGCAATGAAATTTTTGCATACATAACAAATTTGAATTATACAAACTTACTTCTCCCATTGTTGGTTCATCAGCCTTATAAGCATCAAGTTTCTGTTGAATCAACTGAGCTAATTCAACATTTCGATCAAAATCACTGTAAAAAATAAGTTACAACAATTACTTAGTTTTAATTAAATCAGTAATTCCAATATGAAAATATTGTGTAATGTATTATATGAATGTATTATTAATAATCATAAAAAACAAACTCAAATTATAGAATTAATTAAGTGATATGATCAATTACTGGGCTAAAACTTGATTAATGAACTATATAAATATTATGTAATTTGGACTAAAGATAACACAAGATAATGGCCTTATTGTCTAAATTTTTAACTAGAAATAAACAAATTAATTTAGACCAGGAGTCGCCAAAGTGGTCGATATCGACCCCCACGGGTCAATGCAACATCATTGGGGGATCGATGTGGCTAGGGGGTCGATGCGCCCAAGGGATCACAACCTTTTTTTTTCTTTTTTCTTTTCTTTTTTTTGCTCATACACTTGCACTTCTAATAAAACTTTACGGGGGGTCAATGATGTTTTGGAAAGTGGTTGGGGGTCGACAGTTAAAAAAGTTCGGCGACCCGATTTAGACTAATCTGAAAGAAAAGAACAATCCAGAACAGGACTTGAACCTGCATCTTCCATTCACCATACAGATGTCTTGCCAATTACATGATCCAGACCTCAAACAAAGATGGCAATCTAACTACTTCTCTTTAGTCCATATTATTATTTGGTTGAAATGTCATTTTAAATTTCACACATGTTAAATCAGCTGCCACAGCAATTGAATGCATATTTCCACAATGTATGTTCTACAACTTTAAACTTGGTCACAAAATGAACAAAACACATCTGCAGGGCCTTTTATGACGCTACTGCAATAGCTCACACCATGCAGTAATAGTTTTAGAAGTTACAGAATGGAGATCAGAGTCTGAGAAATTAATCCCACAGTAGCTGCCATTTGGGGTTTGGAAATTGCTTTGAAATGTTGTCATGGAAGCAAACCCCAAGCATAGCATTCAGATGATTGATGGCCCATCACTGAAACCCAATAGAATATTAAACTACAAGCAAACCAATGCCGTATGTCATCGGGTTAGATAACGACTATAATATTAATAAATTATGAAACAATTTGATACTTTGATAATTTAGATCTACTGGAAGAAAAGAAATCGGCCTGGAATGGGACTCAAATCTACAACTCCCGCTTACCATGCGGATGCATTACCAATTATGCTATCTGGACCTCTGGACTATCTTTAAATTATTTAAATAATTTAAATTACTTAATTAAATATTATAATTATTAAATTTATTAAGAGATGGTGCCTAACACTTCTCTATAGTACCAAATTGTTTCATAATTTATTAGTATTATAGCCGTTATCTAGCCCGATGACATACTGCATTGGTTGGTTTGTAGTTTAATATTCTATCAGGTTTAGTGGTGTTGTTTGTTTAACTTACATCTTCTTAAATTGAGAGAGCAAATAAGAATGATATCATTTCATATAATTTTTATATTAAATCATTTCATTAACAAAAACTATGAAAATATTTTTCAGAAACTAACTTATTTTACAATAGCTAGCAGTAATTGTTAATGAAATCTATGAAAACACAGTGTAATACAGAGAGTTTATTATTAAATAAAAATTATTGTTAAAATATTTACCTTCGATATCTTATTGATGGATATTCTCCCAAAGTGGCACACAATGTAGCTACTTGCTCAGCCACACGTTCCAGCACACTAGTGTGTTCTGATGCTTGAGATGGGTTATAATAATATTGAAATGCTTCAGCGGAGTCTAAGCAAAATACCTGAAAATAAATTAAATGATAAAAGATAATTTAAAGTCATAAAGCAAATATATGCTATAAAATAAAAACTAAACAATATTTAATGAATTTATAGTAGTTGAGATTTCAAATAATCTGCAGTTATCTTTAGATTATTTGAATTTAAATATTGCCATATTTCTTTTTATAAACTTTGAATGATTGATCACTTCCAATGATAAGATGAATAAATGCAATAAAGATTGAATATTTAAGCTTACAAAATATACAAATATATTACAAACTATGGAAATATATAAAATTCCATCCATTGAATATATATTAAAAAAAATTACACTATATTTTAGACTTTTGTTTATATTAAAACAAATATTTATCTGTTATTCAACCTATGGTGCATCAGATGGAAAATAAACCCAGCCAACTGTATAAATATTCATGGTTTTATATTTTTTAATTAACACAATTTAAAAATGTTTTAAAAGTTAGCTATGAAAGTGTGTTTTAAAAATTATCTGAAACTATCAGTAAAAGAAGCTAGCATTAGCATTAATTGTCAGAACATGAAAATGAAAAAAATTTTCAGTGATTAAAACAAAAAAAAATTGTTTTAATCCAAAAGAACAATTAAATCTTATTTTGTGTGTTAAATGAATTCACTATGCAAGTTTGTGCATAGTTTGAAAAAAAAAAAAGTTTGTTATAGCAACCAAAAAAAAAAAAATCAATGAATGGTGCACACACATTTATATTTCTAGTATACAATTAACTTTGTCAATTTAAAAAACATTTTATTCATACTGTAGACAAAGCTAAATAAAATTTGTAACAAAAATTTACTTATATCAATAAATTAGTTTATTATACTTGTCAGAACATGAAAATGAAAAAAAAAAATTGTTTTTTTTTCATTTTCATGAAAAACAAACAAAAAATTGTTTAAATTGGTTATATGTTTAATGACAAATCTTCCAAAACATCAATGTATTTCTATGTTATGCAAATTCTCATTTATGCATGCTTTCCTGAATGTAAAACCTGGTAATCATGCCTACACATTATGTAAATTAGTGAAAAGTTGACAAACTATAATGATGATATTAAAATCAATTAACCATCATCAGCTCTTCAGATTTAAGAAAATAATGTCCATCTTTGTTTAAATCAGAAAATCATAAATTTATATGAATTTTTGAGAAATCAGAAAACTGTATGCCTTTAAGTATGAAATGCTCCAAGTGCATGGATTACCCTAATGTTTCTTAAACTTCATAGAATACAATTAGATTTGCTGAAGATAAAGTTAAAGTACATAACTCAACAAAAATTGTTGAATATTTATTTTTTAAGGTGAGCCCAGGGTTGTAAGATGGAAAAATTTATTAGCATGCCAATGTTTTGGAACTGTCTTAGAGGTGGGTGAAAGCTTGAAAAGAGGTCAATGAGCAAATTAGATATATAATGTACTGTACTGTGAGGAAATGAGTTCAAGCATATTTATTTTATGAGATTGTTATACAGTAGAATCTCATTTTCACAGATTGCAGAACAACAGTTTTTCTCCAGCTCTCACCAAATCAATGTAATTTTACCTCATTTTAGAAGATCCATAACTCAGAATAACAGATTTTTTTTTCTATCTCCATCTTCAGTAAACATTGTATTTTTTTCAACCTTTAATTTAATAATTAGATGTTTCTGGATACTGAATTCAAAAACATACATTGCATGCTGTGCAAACTAAGTGCATAATTGTCATGGTTCTCACTGCTAACATTGCAGCTGTGCATTAGTTCCCTCCTGTAGTACATTGATTAGTGGAGGGTAACTGCTACTGGTTTAACACTTCAAGATTTGCACATATGTGCAACAAAGATGTGCCTTGCCTTTGTTGCAGACACATGGTCAGGAATATCTCACCTTGAAATCATGCTCATGTAACAGTAGCATTTTGTACTGACGATGCCACCAAAAGAAGCCCAGAAACATTCATGTCATCAAAGCAAACCAAGATGGAAGAGTAACATATCGTGAAGTGCTAATGATCATACATCCTTTGTTGCTTTTTGGCTTATAAGTTCCTGTCATCTTTGTTATGGCATAATGTACAGTACAATCTTGTAATATACATGTTTATATAATGTAAGAAATAGAAATCTTAAGAGATTGAATACTTTGAGTACTGGTGTTTTTTTATGTAAGGGATTTAAAAAACGAAAATTTTTTGAAACAACAGATATTTTTCTGGGATTGTGAGGAATTGTTCATGATATAACAGATTTTCAGAAAAACGGATGATTTTTGGTGCCCCAAGCAGTCCATTAAAACAAGATTCTACTGTATTTTGTTTTGTTTTTTTTTTTTATCTATAGAGTTTGAATATGCTTTTAAATTTTTCATTTAAGTTTTGACAGATTTAACTATAATTGAATAGATCCTCTACAAAATAAAAAATAAATTTACAATTTTTTAGAATTATTATTTTAGCAAAAAAGGTGTTTAAAATGACTATTTTTTTTGTAGCTTTTTCAATGATATTTTAAAAATACATTTAAAAAATCTTAATACTTACTTGGGATTCATAAGGTAGAAATGCAATATTTATTTCTTTTAGAGTTTTGATGTATTTTGCACAAGCAGACTTGCATATTTCATTGAAGCGTTCATCAGGACAAGCTAAAATATTTCAATAATTAATTTTTAATGACATTAACAATTCAATTTCATTACATAATTATATTAAAGCATTATTACCTAAGTTTATTTTCACAATAACAACATAAATAATAATTATAAAGATAATTCATTACTTTAAAAATTTACATATTTCTTTTTGATAACTTATAAAAAAATCAAGGTATATTTTTGAGCATTAAAAAAAATGTTATGTAAATTCTATCATGTAAGATCTATTAACTTTAAATGATAAAATGAAATTTTTTAAATTACAATGAAAATGTCATAATGAAGAGTAAGTACCTTCTGTGAAGAAAACATGGGCACAGCGGTAAGCCTGGCGTGTGGTTGGTTGGAAGTCATTCATCAATAATCGTATAGACTGTAACATTAACCATATATTAACCATGTAATTTAGTACTATTAAACAACTAAAAACATATACACATTTTATTACTTTTAAATCAATAAAAGGAATAATACATCAATTTGGCAAATAAACACAATTAAGCTTTATAATCAACAGATACAACTAATTATAAATAATCGAAGTAAGAAAAAATTCATAGCATATTTTAAACTTTATTTAAGAAATAATCTTCATTATCTAAATTATTTTTTTAAATGTTCATAATTCATATAGCATACTTCATAATTAGTATAATTAACAGATAAATATATTCCAATTGTTAAAATGAATGTCAATTCATTTCAAATCCAATAGAAAACTGAAAATTAATAAAAGAAACAATTTCTAACAATAAATTCAGAAATAAATAAACAGCATTACCAATCAGTCATTCAATTTTTTAAATTTTAAGTAATAATGATAAATTTTAGTCTTTCATTTCATATTACCTGATACCAAAAGAATAGAATAATACTGAATAATTTTAAAAAGTTTTTTAAATTATTCAGTATTATTAGTGTTAATATAAATATAACACAAATTTGTATAACTCATTTATACTTCTTGATTGATATCTTAAAATCATACCAACTTCAGGAACAAAAAAATTTGAATTATAACAATGTACAAGAATTTATCCAAATTATTTTGAAAAATTATTTAAAAAAGAAGCTAAATACAAACTAAAAATGTTTCTTTTCAATAAATCTTTCCATTGCATAATTAAAATTCTGTTTGCATTTTCAAATAATGGTGTCAAGATTTGTACATTTTGACAATATGAATATCTATTTATTTTTATATTCTGACCAATACAATAAGTTATCTATCTACTTTTATATTTGATATATTTTATAATTTTTTGGAATCTTTAAAACATTTAAGTTAATGTCTCATATTTTATTCTAGCCAGATCATCTACTATTGATGTCTAACTACTCCAACAGTAATCAATTTCAATTAAAATATTAAATTTATAACAGTTTAATTGTATTCATTTTGTTCAGCCTTATTAAAAAATATTACTTTACTAAAACTATTATATAGTATAACCTCCAAGCAGCAGATACTGTCAGAACTGAAAAGTTTGTCTGCTATTCAGAGGTAGCAAACAAACTTCTTCCACATTAGAATACAATAGGCTAGTGGCCATATTGTATTTTAACCCAGTCATTATAAAATGAAAAATAAAATGAATTATAAAAACATAAAATTTGCAATAGGAATGTGAAAATACCAAAAAATATACATAGCATATACAGGTATACTTCGCCTTACGTCAGTAATTGGTTCTAGGAGAGGTGACTTAAGTCAAAAAACAACATAAGTCGAATTTACTTGTCACTAGGCTAAACCACAAATAACCATTCCCAGTTCTGTATTTTATTTATAAATGCATTTTTAATAATATATGGTTAATACGAATCTATTTTAAGCTTACAAACAAATAAATTTTAGTTTTTAATATAGTACAGAAAAAAGTAATCTAAATTTACGAATACATGTATGTACGTACATACTTGTACGTACATACATGTATTCGTAAACATCGCCACATTGTAAACATGTACTTGTAAATGTACACAGTAAACATCGCCAAATTGTAAACATGTACTTGTAAATGTACTTGTTTACAATTTGGCGATGTTTACTGTGCATCGCAGACTCTATTTGTAAATGTGGTTTGCTCTAAGACATTATAAAATAAAATGTTTCTGTAAGGTTAAATAACAAATACAGTTATTAAAATTATTTTGCGATAGTAGAAAAAACTAATTTATGTTAAATTTATCAACATCGAGTGGCACTGACAACACCAAACAGTAGATGTTGGAACTACCGTGGAAAATGCCAATATTGAGCTCTTAAAGACCACTAAGATGACAACACAGAGTCACAGATGTTTTCATATTTCGTTCTCTATGATTTATGATGATTATATTAACATTTACTGTAAATGTATGTATTTTAATATGATTTCGTGCACATTTAACACTTTTCTGTGATATTATGATTTCAATATTTGTGGCAGATAAATGTAAAGTCAAATAAAATGACTTAAACCTGACTTTTATTTTTCCATATATTTTTTTTGACAAACTACATATAATCGAGAACAACGTAACTTGAGGTATACTTGTATAAGTAAAATATATATACAGTATATTATTTATCTTTTCCAGCTGTGTATGTGTAGAACACAACTTTGTTCACCCTATTTGAAACTTAATAACTCCTGTGCTTTGTTTGTGTATGGTTTGTGTATTGGGGATTGATGCTATTAAATGTTGGTGATTGAAGGTCAACAGGATGGGGAAATAAAGGGGATTGTGTCATATCTTGAATAGGATCTGACTTATTGATGATTTTACTTGTTATTAGCATTTACAATTTTAATTATTATAAAATAGCAAAAAGTTTTTCTAATAAAATATCGTAATAGATGGTGTTACCAAATGCTGCCAGGGAAGTTAAGCAACTCATTGCTGGATTTTTTTCTACATTAACATATTTATTATGTAAATACTTTTCGGTTTTTTCTTGAAACATATATTTGTCAGATGCTGTGCATTTAAAATTAGTTTTAGAACATAATGATGATGAGTATGATTATAACAGGTCCTCTAAATTTTCGTCAGATGGAGATTATTTTTTAATAAAATTAAAGACAGTCTGCCCAAAAGGGACCACCATTTATTATTTGTGTTCCAGACAATACACATGCTTGGCAACTGACCTTTCCTTTTAGGCTACTTGTTGCCAGAAGTTTTAAAAAGTCCTTTTAAAAAACACAAAATATATATCCAATTAAAATTACAAATAATTTCTAAAAAAGGAACAGGTGACATTCAGACGTCTTTCTTGCATCCATTATACCTACGTTTGGGGTGATATTGCTTTTATCTACTAAAAACAAGTGCTGGAAAATGTAGATTTGATGAAAGCTGCCCCCTGCTGACAATACATGTAGATTTTCATCTGTAAATTTTCATCAGATGGAGATTATTTTTATTAAAAAGTAATATTGTTTATTAAAAAAAGTAATCTCCATCTGACAAAAATTTACAGATTCTGGACGCCAAATGCACACAATTTTCAATTTAAATCCAATAGAAAATCAAATGCTATCGTCCAGTAAGACCTGCCACACTATAGAAAGGGACATTTCCTCTTTAAAATTAATGCAGGCATTCTGCATCCTGCTTTAAATATTTCTATCACCCCCAACAATTTGAGGTGTTCCAGATGTGCGGTGGTGAGGATGATACAAGCTTCATTCACTGTGATATCATTCACAAGTCCACTGTGATATCCAGGTCAGTCGCATAAGTCGAAAGGGCAGTTGCACATTTATTATGTAGTATGTCAGACTTATGTTCCTTTAATACATAGAAGCCTGAGGAAGAGCCCAGAAGAGGCGTCAAAAACATTTGCAATAATAGAACATAAATGCTCTGGTTATTTGGTTTAAGTAAGTCGATTTTATATTCATCCTGGTGTGTTAGGAAATTATGGTTTATTATACTCTTTAAATTTCACTCATCATGTACCATCTGTGGCTCACACTAAAAAAGAGATATATTTTCATTATTTATAGTAAAATTTTAAAAAATATTTATACACTGAATTTTTCTGGCTATATTTAGGCTAATATTTTAATAAAGTTACCTGACTAGGCCACCACCTTTTGATCAAAAATTATGACAGGGAAAATCAGACTTTGTTATTGATTATAATATAATTTATATTCTGTTTTATTTTCAAATAATTTTTTAAAATAAAAATTGAATGCCAAGTTATTATAAATACAATAATAAACTATAAAAAATAATAATTTTTTAAAATCAACATAAAAAATATATTGAGTACACTTCACTTCATCAAAATTTGTATCATTAAAAAAAAGTTGCTTATGTTCCAAGTATAGCAGAGAATGGTAAATGTGTTTCTTCTGTCTGTCTATACACCAAAAATAAACTTCTACTATAAAAATGTAGCCGAGCTAAATAACAATGAATTTTACTGTGGTAGTGAGCCATTAATGAAGCACAGTAGCTGATATGAAAGACAAGGGCACCATTTGTAGTACACATCATTGAAAATATGTTAAGCATAATTAAAAATGCTTTTTAATAATAAGAAAACTTTCATATTATATCTGACTGTTTTTAATATCAATACCATACCATATATATTTTTTAACCTTCTTCTTAATATAATATTTTAGAACATTTCTGCAGTTTCCAAATTAATTTTGCAAACTTGTATTTTTAAATGACACTATCAGGTCAAAAAAATACTTATAAGTAAATATAAGTGTTATTCAGAAAGCAGAGTTTTTAAATTACAAATCACACTAAAAAATAAATATAAATTAAATTTTTGAATTATTTCATATTCATTCTATCTCAGATATAAATAACTTTCAAATATTGTATGGCCAAATTAATATGAACATGTTTTAAAATATAAAATTAAGAATTTTTATTACTATATAAATTACAGTCCATAATAACTGTTTTAAAAATAGGCAATGAAAACATAATAATATGCTAATAATTATTTCCAAAATATATTTTTGAACAGTACTGTACTGAAAATATTACTAATTTAAAAGGCCATCAAGTGTGTGTGTGTGTGCGCACGCACACACAAACAGCATCACAACATCAAGCTTGACTTGAAGCTATTCTCAATTCTTCGATCTCTACTTTCTCATAAAAAATATTCCATTGTGCTTGATGGGAGAATTTCTAGTTTTAGTATATTTTACCATCTACAAAACATATTACAATGAACTATAAGTGAATTAAAACTATAATGTAATGATTTGCAATTTTATGATCATGAACATTTTTAATAATGTGGTGTGTTTATATATCACATCGTATATATAAATAATAATAAAATTCTTACCGCATCTATAGGTGATATAAGGTATACTGCTTCCATATTAGGTAATGGTTCTCTTCTCTTGTGGATATCTTCCACAACTGAAAAAATAGTATTATAATAATTTTATAATAATAAACTAACAGCTGAAGTATACACTGAAATTTTATCCAAATAAGCAACATTGATACTTCTGTCTATCTTTAAGCTACCACTATATATCTTGTCATCAGCAATATGTAAATATTTATAGATGAATTACTGTAGCTGCACAATAACTTGAGCTCTGGCAACTTAATCATCATATGACTTTAAAGCAAATACAGACCATTCCACTGTGCATTTGAGGTAACAAATATTATATTTTTGCAGAATGACTGGCATGCTTCATATAAAAGAGGGAGAGAGCATGCTGGAAACCCAAGGGTTACTCGGTTAAAGTGTGACCAAAATATAAAATTAATCAATCTAACAAAACTAGTTGTTTCAAGTACAATAAAAATAACAACATTGTAATTTGACTGACTTAAAATCAGGAAGTGTTTTCATTTACAAGACAATAAAACAATTAACGACTTATTGACATTAGTAGTAGTAGTAGAAGTTAGTCAGTGTAGCCCACACTGACCACCTACCCTGTCCTTAAAAATTACACCTTCCTCTCAAATTTCACACAAAGCCTATGTTAATGGGTGCAAGCTGAGATAATTTACAGTGAGTTTCTTAAAATTAATATGTTTATTTTTGCATTTTTTAATCAAATAACAATAAAATACACACACAAAAAAAGAAACAACTTTCAGAATTCCAAGAGTATTTTACATGGTTAGAAAAAAGACAAAATGAAGAACTTAAACATATAATTGTGGTATTTGATGTAATGCTGACAGTTTCACAGTTTTAAAATAAAAACTCATTCATTTTTACATAGCATAACTTATTCATTTTTTTAATGTGCCCTGTATAGAGGGATGTAGAGCCTCATTTAAATCAGCATGCCAGCATTCCCCAATATAAGCCAGCATGCCAGTTTTTATCATACAGAAATATCCAATTTCATAGTCTCCCCAGACAGACTGGCATGCTGGTTTAATATGCTAAAATACGTTATGAACACCACAGAAAAATCTGTTCATTATAACTGGTTTGTGTAATATGTATACACAGAAATGTTAAATAAATTCAACTGTCAAGTGTCATTCAGCGTGATAATTTCATTACAAATTCTTTTTACTGTACTCAATAGCCTTTTCCATCACTTACTTACTTAACTGAATATTTATATTTGTTGAGATAGCTTATCCATCCCAAAACAAAATCACACATTAATTATTATTTCTGCCCACACTATTGACAACTCTGAATTACTTTGATGATGTCACCATCCTACTTTCACAAAATACATACACCACTAACCATTTAACCTACCTACAAAGCACAATGGAATAGCTTGTTCACTACTGTATGCATTATTTTAGATGCTCAAGTAGTTGTTGACATACAGTACTTGAAAATTATATGTCTAAAACTTTGTCTTGTGATGTGAACAGTGCAATTAGTAATGTATTCACACATAATAGGATCACATTTACAATTATCATATAATAATTTTGCATTTAAATTCAATCATAATTTTTTTCCAACTTTTTAAATTATTAAAATTAACAATTAAAATTAATCAAATTAAGAATAGTTTGAAGGATATATGAAATTAATCACACAAAAATATTTTATAACACTAAAATATTTAATGAACCTACTCCATTTATTTATAAATTTATATACAATATATATTTACAAACTCACTTGTAATTCCTTCAGAAGCTATTTCATGCATTTTACAACATGCAGAAATCATCCTCATTCCAAGTTGATCTACTACTAAAACTTTCCATTCACCCTTTTTTTTAACAGTACGAATAACATCATTCATAATTTCTGAAAAGATAATTTAATTTGAAATTATTTTAACTTATCAACATCAGAATCATTTGTTAATTATAAAACAATGGTAATAAAATTTTAAAATATAAAACTATTTTTATGAATTAAAATTATAGTAACAATTTATTTTATATTTTGACAGTTTATAATAAACTGTCAAAATATAAAATCTCCTTTCAAATCTGTACGAATTACAGATTTACATATTCTGCTATTTTTGAAAGAATTAATTATATCTGAAATATTTTACAAATCAAAGTTTATTAAATAGCTATTATAGTTTATAAACTTACAATAAAACAATAGATTATTTTTTAAAATTTGCCAGTAATTCAGTGGTAATAAATTTAAATGTCTGAGAAAAATGTATATTTATTTTAAGTTGTTAGAATTTACATAGAGGATCGTGAGAAAAATTACTTATCTCGACAAAATTTAGTTTTAAAAAAATTAATATTGGCAAACTTAATAATTTGCCTATCCCATGATAATATAAAAGTATAGGTATAGAGTAAGAGCTTAACAGAAAAAGGAAAAAATTATGTTATAATAATTCTATCACAACATGTTTTTAAATGGAAAAAAGTGAATTTTTCAAATTAACAATTGTTCCAATAAAATTTATCATATAGCTTAGTACATAAAGAATCTGTGACAATAAATAAAATGGCATTCAAAGCATATTTTAAGCTAAATTATAGCATGAGTAAATATATTTTATGGATGTTTTTGTTAAAAAGCAAATATACTGCTATGTATGAAATAATAAGGTGTAAATGTACAGTATTTTTCATACACCAGAGATTTTTTCTCTATAAGTAAGTATTTTGTTCAACAGGATCATCATATAAATAATTTATATACAATTAACAGGTTTAACTGTTTATACATGTGTAATAAATAAAATACTTTCTTACTGGAACTAAAATCAATATAGGTTTAGGTTAGGTTTTGTTTTTATTTATACATGCATGTACTGTACTGTTTAAAAGTGTTTATAAGTTTACTGCCTAACATATGCAATAACTATCAACCAACTCCTATCTTAATACACCATTTGAAACTGTCCAAATATTCAAGGAAATGTTTTGTGCCTAATAAAAATATTCTTAATCACATGCATATGATGGCACAAGTACAGTACTTAAGGTTGTTAATCCTTATTTATTATGATAAAACCTGTCCATAAACATCACAAAACCCAATAAATTTGTAAAGCCAAACAACTACCAGATTACTTCAGGCTTCTTTTCTGCAATTATATTTTAATTAATTACCTAACACCTCCCTCTAGTGACAAATTATTTAGTAATTAATTAAAATATAATCAAGGAAAGTAGCCTAATCTGATCCAATGGCTGTTTGGCTTGAATAAAACCTTTCCAAAACAGAATCTATATAAAACAGAAACTCATCAAAATATTCTCCAGAATGAAGTGATTTTCTATGCTAAATTTTACTATACACCAGAAATTTATCTAACATGAAGAGAATAGAAGAGATTTTTGGATAGAAAGAATGTAATTAACCTGAATAAAACAGAAAATTAGAATTTCACATATATGGTGCAATTCCAGTTTACACAGGTTTTATTGTTTTAATAAAATTCAATGTAAGTATAAATAATTATATGTATGTGTGTATATATTGTAACTATAATGTAATTATTTAAATATATTACTTACATCCAATTAATCTTTATATAATTATATGTCATTTAATGTAATGTAATGTCATGTTTCAAAAATTTTTATTAACTGAATGACTTTCCAACTTACTATATTAATTAGTATAAACATTCTTATTTTAAAAAAGCAAATTTTAATTGGAACATAGTAGTTGTATTTCAAATTAGTGAATTATTAAAGATAATATATTTTTAATCTTTAAGGTTCACAATGTTTGTTTGTTAATTTACGGTAACGCAACACTTGGGTGATCTGCCTAGGAGGATGCCTTCTGGGCGGTCTTTTTAAGGGGAACAGATCAACATGAAAAAACACCCACGAGGCAATATCACCCCTGTTGAGAAACACTGTCATAGGCAAAGGCTGCAAGGACTATTACACACAAACCCTTGCAAACAGTAGGGTAATGCTTCCTTGAGTCTAATATTCAACGGTCTGCACGTAGCTCTAATGTACTCATAGTACTAATTTATCCTGCTAATAAAAATAGAAATGATGAGAACACCAGATAGTGACTATCTGGCATTTACATCATTCCTATTTTTGATAATTTTTTTTAGATCATTCACGTGTCTCTATCATTCTTCAGCAAAGAAAATAAACTGTTGGACTTCTCTTAATCTATACTATTTCCAATAATGTGATATTAATGTCTTCAGTATCACATGCATGGAAGGCTATGAACTTTTATAACCTTATTTAAATTTTTATACTTATTTACATGCACTTTTTTTGTTTTGTAATTTATTTTAATTTTTCTTTTGCCATTCTTCTACACATATGACCACCAGTACAAATTTAGAGTTTCATTTATTTAAATTTTAGTCTTTTTGTTCTATGTATGATTCTATAACCTGACAATGGCTGTTACAGACAGTTAAAAACATTTGTTGCTCTAATAAATTGTTCCTTTTTAACTGGATTACAGGTATTAGTATTTGCTTTTATTATTATTTCATCCAGTTTTGCAATATATTTTAATTTAAATTCCTCATAACTAAGTTTCTTGATATTATAAAAAGCCCTAAACAAAACTGATTTTTTAAATTAACACAACTCAAAAACACAATGAGAAATTACAATTAGTTACTAAAAACTTATTTAATTAATATGTTTCATTTATATTTTTATCCAACTTACAACAAAATTTAACATTTCTTTTTCTCTATTATTTCAAACAGCAATCACTTGCATAATAAAAAGGCAAATAAATACAAGCAATATATGACAAGTAAGCAAATTTACAGAACTTTGGATTGATTTGTGAATCTAAAAAAATCTTGCTTTTCCACACAATAAATTCTGTCCTAATAACTTAAATTCCAATCCTAAAGTAACTGTTAATTAAGCTTCAGAACTTAGTAATAGATAAACTGAAGTTAATTTTCTTTGATTCTGATCTAACTTTTTTGAATATAGAAGAAAATTAAAGTGTTTGGTTGAATCAAATAGGATCTATTTCCAGAAAAATTTTTATTATTATTAAGTTTTTAGAGTTTAGCATACTACATACATTGTATATGTACTATACATACATTGTTTTTTACAACTTATGTAATTATTATATCATTTATTCTCACATTTATACATCCATAGTCTAACTATAATTAATGATAAAATGTATTTTAGAGAATTCAGAGCTATTTATTCACAACTATATAAATTTGTAAATAGTGCATTACATTTGAAAAGTAGGAAATTTATATAAAATTACAGTTTTGCTTTCCAATTGAAACATTTGCGTCTTAAAAACAAAATTTCATTCAATCAATCTGACAAAAATTAAGTTGTCTTAGTTCTTTTTTAATTAATTAATAGCAAGCAACATTTAAATGCTCATTATTTCTGTAAGTTTATATACTAAATATCAATCAACAAAGCAATCTTTAATACAACTCCAACTGGATATGATGTTTAATAACAAAACCATAAATCCCCAGCAAATACATTTTAATTATGAATATTTTTGGCCATTTTCAAGTAACTGTATATAAAATAAAATAATCATTAAAAGAATGCATAAAAAATAATACACAGTCCAAAATATAGAACATTAAGATAAATATCTATATATATAACCCATTCAACGGGTATCCATCTGTCTGTCCTGTAACCATTTGATAACGGACACTAGAGGCACCCCTATTGTGTGTCATATTTCAAACATTCAAATTCACAATTTTAATTCTTATTTAAATTAACCATATGAATTTTTATTATTATTTGGCCAATAAATTATTATTTGGTCAATATAACAATATAAATAATTCAGTATATTTGTAATAGGAATTTATTATTTCAGGGGCTTATATCTCTCGAAGGGTCGCGAGTAGGGATATGGTTCCTTTGACTTTATTGTTAGTACAGGGGTCTACGGTTTTGGGGGTCTCCACCTCTTCATTTGGACGGTAAATCTTACCATTCGGATTTTAACAGAGCTGTAGAGCATATTGATAGGAACAAAAAAGTCAAAGGAACCATACCTCATGGAAATTTGTAAAAAACGCCCACTAGGGGGCATCCCAAGCTACTAGTTCTAAATAAAACATAAAAATGTCTGTTATCAAAAATGTTTTTTGACTAAATTTAACATTTCATAATATTTTAAAATATTAAACAAAAAGTATGTAACAATTAATAATTCAATTAAATTCATTCAAATACATTTTAACAGTCTGACACCTATGGCTCCTAAGCATGTGTAGCTAAGGCCATCATCAGCTATCTTTTCTTAATATGAACTATTCATGCACCTTAATCCTTGCTTGGAGTGACTTTAATGTGGCACCCATACATTCTAAATCTAACCCAAAATATTGATCCCTGGGGAAAATACTGTACACTGTCACTATTGGAATTTTGTGCTGATCTACAGGTCTTGTAATTCTAGAATAATTTGTACACAGTCTTTCTAAACCATAACTAAGTTTTAGTGGCTAAGGCAATCTCCTTATGCATTCCACTTAAAGCCTGATTGATTAATTATTGCCCATCACTATTATTGGATAATAAAGGTTTTTTTTACTTTAAATTATTTGAATTTTAAGATGACATCATTATTGCAAAGTTGCCTTTCTACATATACAAATCATTAAAAATTCATCAGTTAATTTCATCATCTAAATAACAGTTTCAATCATAAAAGAAATCATGTTTGACCATGAAACCTTTGTTAATATTCAGATTCTTATCCCATATATAAAACAGCAATCATCACCCTTAAATGAAGTAGCAGAAATACAATTATTCTCAATACATATACTAGTCAAAGAAACTAAAAATATATAAATGTTTCTTTAAGCACTA